TGATGAGAGAAACATCAATCAGCTGCTTCTTGCACACCCCCTTCTGGGGATGTGCCCACAACCAAGGTACATACATGCCCTTGACTGGAATCAAACCTGGGACCCTTCAGTCTGACGCTCTATCCACTGAGCCAAACCAGTTAGGGCTGCACTGAACTTGTTAATCACACACCAAGCAAGCTCCACCTCAGGGTCTCCACCTCAGGGCTTGCTTTTTCTTCTGCCTGTAATTCTCCCTTCCTAGACGCAAAGCTGACAGATTTGGCCAATAGAGACCAGCCTTTGCTTGATTCAAGTGTTTGCTACTTTACATAGATCGCAAAAACAAGAATAGCCCTTGGTTTGGCTCAGTGAGAGCATCAGCTCACGGACTGTAGGGTCCCAGGTTCAATTCCGGTTCCCCGGCCCTAATTGGGGTGTGTGCAGGAGGCAACCAATTGATGTGTCTCTCTCACATCGATGTTTCTGTCTCTCCCTTTCCCTTCCAGTCTCTCTAAAAATCAATGAAAAAATATATCCTCGGGCAAGGATTAATAATAATAATAATAATAATAATAATAAAACAGGTTCATTAAAAAAAAAAAAAAAGCAATAGCCGAAACCAGTTTGGCTGAGTGGTAGAGCGTCGGTCTGTGGACCGAAAGGTCCCAGGTTCGATTTTGGTCAAGGGCATGTACATTGGTTGCGGGCACATCCCCGGTAGGGGGTGTGCAAGAGGCAGCTGATCGATGTTTCTCTCTCATGGACGTTTCTAACTCTCTCCCTCTCCCCTCCTCTCTGTAAAAAATCAATAAAATATATTAAAAAAAAAAAAAAAAAAAAGAAGCAATAGCCACAGATGCCAGCTCATGCTTCTTGGGTGGGTGACATTGAAACAAAGGGGCCGATGACTGCAGCAAAAGGGGTAGGACGCCCTGGGGCAGAGAAAGTGATTCCACGCGGAGCTATTCCACAGCCCGAGCCCTCCGACCTCCGACCTCCCCAGAAGCTAGGGCAGTGTTTTTCAACCTTTATTGGGCAAAGGCACACTTGTTTCATGAAAAAAATCACGAGGCACACCACCATTAGAAAATGTTAAAAAATTTGACTCTGTGCCTATATTGACTATATATAAAGTAATTCTCTTGAATAGGAATCAAATAAACACAAAGAAAGTATCAATATTTTATAATTACTTTATTATGAAATATTAAGTAAACAAAATAGTGAAAAATTATAAAATTCTTGTCTTGTCTGCACCTACGGCACACCAGGCAACATCTCGCGGCAAACTAGTGTGCCGCGGAACAGCGGTTGAAAAACGCTGAGCTAGGGGATGAGAAACGGCTTTAGGACAGTCTCTGGTAGACGGAGGTGTTAATGAGAGCTGGTCTCCAAGCCTTTCCTCACAAGCCTGTCATGTTCTGTGTTCCAAAGACCACAGTGTCCTGCCAATTCTTAGATAGGCTATCCTACCCGGCTTACGCAGAGCTGTGCAAGACAGCCAAACGCCATGGCGGAACCACTGCACTACCCCATCTCCTCCTCCTCGCTTGCCCTCCCTCTCTCTGCATCTCTATTGGAAAGCCTCCTCCCGAGTTGCCTTCCCCGACCACGACCACCCTTTGTAAATATCACATCCCTCACTCTCCATCCTGGCTCATTTTCCTTAATGCTTGCCGCGTCCCAATGTGACATTATGCACCTGTTTACTACATCATTGACCGTGGGCCCATCAATACAAGCACGATTCCTGAGGGAAAGAAATGTGTGTATCCTGCCGAAACCGGTTTGGCTCAGTGGTAGAGCGTCGGTCTGCGGACTGAAAGGTTCCAGGTTCGATTCTGGTCAAGGGCATGTACCTTGGTTGCGGGCACATCCCCGGTAGGGGGTGTGCAAGAGGCAGCTGGTCGATGTTTCTCTCATCGACATTTCTAGCTCTCTCTCTCCCTTCCTCTCTGTAAAATATCAATAAAATATATTTAAAAAAATGTGTGTATCCTTTGCTGTGGCCCTACTGTTACCTGGTAGACATAACACTTACTGACCACATCTACCTACCAGACACTGTTCTAGATTTTCCCAAGTCTTGACTCATTTAATGGGCATTACCCCCATCGATAGGTTTTTATTTATTTTTCCCCTTTCCAATTTTTAAAAATATTTATTGTTGAAAGTTATTACATATGCCTCCCCCCCCCACACACACACATTGACTGTCTGTGCCCATGGGTTATGCATAGATGCATGCAAGGGAGAGGCAGGCTTTTAGAGGTCCTGCATTTTGGAGGAGGGAAGGCGGGGCTTCCGGTGCTGGGCAAAGGAATGGTCCCCCTGTCTAGAGAACCCAGAGAGATTCTATTAGAAATGTTTATGTAGAACAGCCAAAACCGGTTTGGCTCAGTGGTAGAGCGTCAGCCTGTGGACTGAAAGGTCCCAGGTTCGATTCCGGTCAAAGGCATGTACCTTGGTTGCAGGCACATGTAGGGGGTGTGCAAGAGGCAGCTGATCAATGATTCTCTCTCATCGATGTTTCTAACTCTCTATCCCTCTCTCTTCCTCACTATAAGAAATAAAATATATTTAAAAAAATCTTTATGTAGAACAATGCCACGGATTTAAAAAATATATTTTATTGATATTTTTTAGAGATGGAGAGGGATATTTAGAAACATCGATCAGCTGCCTCATGCACAGTACTGGGGATGTGCCCACAACCAAGGTACATGCCCTTGACTGGAATTGAACCTGGGACCCTTCAGTCCGCAGGCTGACGCTCTATCCACTGAGGCAATCTGGTCAGGGCTGCCACGGATTTTTAAAAAAACAATTTAGAAGCCCTAATGGTCTTTGGGCACTGTTATATTGAAGAAAAATCCCTTGTTTTCTAGATATTGGGGCAGTCTGAATTCCAAGGGACCATGGTCCTTGCTAGCCCGGGAAAGGATGGGAGATGGAAGAGGTATGCAGCTGGGCAGAAACACGGCAAGTTTTGTCTTGATAAGCAGAGGAGTGGTAGGAACACTGGCAGTAATCCTTATCCTTTTTTTTTTTTGGTTGTTAGCATGCCTGAAATATTCACAGCATATTTTAAAAGGCTGTTCGGGCCCTAGCTGGTTTGGCTCAGTGGATAGAGCATCTACCTGTAGACTGGTTGTGGGCTTGATCCCCAGTAGGGGGCGTGTAGGAGGTAACCCTCTTATCATTGATGTTTCTCACTTCCTCTCTGAAATCAACATTTTTAAAAACTGGAAGGCTATTTGGAAGTCTTCTACACCTCTACTTCTAGAATGGGGGCAGTATCAGGAACCTTTAACTCCATCTGGTGGGGCACTATCTCCATTTTACACATCTTGAACCTGAGGCAAAGAAGTGAAGCTAGGAAGCAAGGTCAGAAATGATTCAGTTCATAGGGGGAGGGGTGGGGCTTGGGATGTATTTGGGACCCTGCAGTGGTGGGGGGTGGTCATGGGAAGTGTAAGATAGCTCTTCATAGGCCTTGGGACACAGGTTCTCAAGGGACCTTGAAACGTTTGGGAATTGTTTGGTGGGTTCTTGGGAAACATGTTAGTGAGACGCTAAAACTGAAGTGGAGGAATCATTGGCACTTTTGTCTGGAAATTTTATTGATTAGCAATTTCAGTGTCAGGAGGGTTTGATAGAATTCAGGGGACCGTTTTGTTGCAGAACTTGCAGTTGATGGGTCTCAGGCTACAGAGGGTGAGGACACTACTCCCCAAGGTGCAGGAACCCCCTCCCCACTCAAGGCCGTAATGGTCCACTCCCTCAGCTCCTTGCAGGTCCGGCACAGAATGCCGGCTCAGACCAAGTACCCAAACGGTGAGGGTAGGACAATCTGTATGGGAGGAAGGCGGGTCCAGGCCGCCAATACTGACCCTCCCAGTACAGGGACCCAGGCTGTTTGAGCTGCTTTAACAGTGTAATTTCTCAATTCTGGAGGTTGGAAACTCAAGATCAGGGTACCAGCATGGTTCAGTTATGGTGGGGCCCTTTCAGAATGTCTTCTTGTAGCCCTAGCTAGTTTGGCTCAGGGGGTGTCCGACTGTGGACTGAAGGGTTCCAGGTTTGATTCCGGTCAAGAGCACATGCCTGGGTTGCAGGCTTGATCCTCAGTTGGTGGCATGCAGGAGGCAGCCAATCCGTGACTCCATCACTGATGTTTCTCTCTGAAATCAATGACTTCTTGTATCCTCACATGGCAGAGCCGATCAGGGAGGCAAACTATTTCTATTATGAAGGTCTCACCCTCAACAGAAAGGCCTCCTTTCTAATATTATCATATTGGGGAGGGTTGAAACATGTGTATTAAGGTGACATGCTCAGTCCATGACAATCGTGTCCCAGGAACGAGGGAATAAGGCAGTTTAAGCTGTTCAGGAACTCAAGACTAGTCAAAGGTACAAAACTAGACCAAGCCACTGCCACCACCTTAGCACTGAATCTGTGACTGAAGGGTTGGCCAATGGCTGTATATGTCTATTAAATGTGCTTTACACCCAGCAGAAAAGGTAAAATGCCCGTGGGGCTGAGGCACACAGGTTAAATGACCCACCAAGTCAAATAGCTGGGAAGCAGCAGAATCCAGTTTGAGCTTAGAATTCTGTTCTTAAAAACCAGGATTTTTCTGGGACCCTCACATTAAAGCGAGTTTAGTTTCCTTTTTTCTCATGTATCTGAGGTGTGCTTATATAACACACCCACCCAAACAATCCCAAACTTTAGTGGTACTTGCCCTGCTGACCCCTCTAAATTCTTTACTCAAAGTCTCCTTTCCCAATCTTTATTTTAGATTACAAGCCAGAGTAAGGAAAAAGCAGCAGCAGTATCAATTCTTTAGGTATCATTTTTTTAATCAGCTCCATAAAAGACATCCTAAATACTACATGAAACACAACAGAATATTTTTCTTCCAGTATTAAAAAAATGACATTCACAATTATTTTAAGAAACTTCTATATAATCAGGGCAGTGTTTTAAAAAAAACAAAAAAACAAAAAAACTCCAAGTAACCAGGTCCTTGATTTATTGCAATTATATTTGGGAATTGCTTTTTAACAATGATAAACACTGTATACAAGTTTTAAAAAACGTCTCTTAGATGCACATTATATCTGGGTGGGGGGGAAAACAGTCTGGCCAAACATTTTTTGGTCAAGACCATTCCTGAGAGCCCAAACTTTCAAAAAAAGAAAAAAAAGAAAAAAGGTAAAAGGAAATATTCCAGACTATAAATGTTCCAGAATTTGTCTTTAACCGGGAGGGAGAAAAATAATAACACATGGAGCTTTCTAAAAGGTCTTTAGCAAGCTACCTTGGGAGCTCAATTCAAAAATAGAAGTTGACATACTAAAACAGATGTTTCAGTGCAGCTCCAAAACTCTTTATAAATACAGCCATTTGGAAGGACGATCCTGGATCAGAAGTTTTATTCCTTGTGTTTGTGTATCTGAGAACAGTAAAAGGGGAAGAGCTGTGATTTTAGGAACAGGCTCACATGCTTACCTTCTGGGTTGATAAAGTTAGAGGGCTTCACAAGGACACCCCCTCATCTCCAGGGCCAGCATATTACAGGGGAGTCAGGTTTTCCCATACAAGTCTCACCTACATTAGGTGTGGCATGCCTCCTCTCAGTTGTCATAATTGTCTCTGTAATTTCCTCCTGAATAGCGGTCATAGCCACCCTGGCTTCTGGGAAAAAACCACAGTGTTGCAGAAAATGCACCAGACACCCCCAGATAATACAGAAACTCCCATTTACATATGCCATCACATCTTATAAGTATTAATGCACAAAACAGGGTATGTTAAAGCATGTGAACATCGTATAGAAAGCACAATTATACAGTATGGACGAAATTAACCACAGCACAAAACATACATGTTACCTATCATATACTGCAATTATGTGAACTTATAATAATTTATTAACACATTACACATAACTCAAAATATCCCTTGTTTGTTTTGCAGTTTCATTATGGTTTGTAAAACCGACACTAGTAATACCAAGATAAGATAGACATACAGTCAGGCAGCCCAGCTCTTAAGCAGCGCCACCCAAGCACCCCAACACTTTGGCTACCCACCTGCCACCATAGTCTCTGGATCTTCCATATCCATAGCCATAGCCTCCAGGCCGACTGTCATACCTGCCACTCCCATAGCCCTGGTCTCCACCACCTACAGTAGACAAAAAAATACTTGAACGGGCAATTGTCCCAGACAGAGGCCCCTGACAGGCGGCTCTTCCCCTCACCACAGGACCAAATTCACCATTGCTATTACCTCTAGAGTAGCTGCGGCCACGCCCTCCAAAGCCACCGCCTCGGCCCCGGGCCGACTTGCCAGCATGGTCCACGCGGATCTGGCGACCATCCAGAGACTAGGTGCGAGGAGACATAAAAGAAGATAAGTGGGTGGTCACACAGGGAAGCGGCGAGTCAAGAGCGGGCAGGGCAGGCGGGCAAAAGAGCCCAGAAACTCGTGCTGAGCACCAAGTTTTGGGTGCTATGTTCCATAACAAGCTCCTCTGACCAGAACGGCCTTAGCAGGAGCTGTAGAACCCCACACAATGACCTGAATCCACCGTGTTCCCCTGCTACTACTTACATCTTGACTGAACTCAGGTGAGTTCTCCTCCCCACTCCTCTAAGCTGCCCAACTATTCGGGCTAGATAGACACCTCTCTTGGTTTGAGGCTTCAGAGTCCGTCCCGGAAGACTCACGAGGTCCTCTCCGGGCCAGGCCCGCAGATCTGCAGACTCTACTACCTAAGCCCAGGGCAGGTCAACCATCCACAGGTGGCTTCTCGGCCTCATGCAGGACCAGTCGTCGCCTCCCAGGCAGCCCGGCTCTGTCTGCCGCTGCCCTCCACCCCCTAGAACAGAAGGCAGTCACGCTCCTGTGAGTGGGCACTGTGGGGTTTGGTGGCCGCGCTGCCCCTAGCAGACACAGAGGGAAAAACAGAAAGAATGGTAGAAGTGGTAGAGAGGGGGGCCGGACCCCTAATGCAGGTAAAAGGCCTCACCTCTCCGTTCATGGCTCTCATGGCATCGGATGCATGCTCTGGGTTGGTGAAGGTAATGAAGCCAAAACCCCGGGATCGCTGAGTCTCCCGGTCCTTGACAACGACCACTGGGGAAGAGGGGACGGGGAAGCAAAAAGTGACCCATCTTCAACAAAAAGTTATCGGGTTCTCCAAAGCCTGAACTATACTCCCTTAAACCCAAGAATCCAGCAAGGAAAAAGTAGCACAGGAAGGCCTGGGGCCCTGATTTCCGGTAACTGCCCCCCCCCCCCCCCGCGGGTCTGGCCCATCGCTCACCCTCAGAGATGGGCCCGAAGCTGCTGAAATGATCTTCCAGAGCCTGCTCGTCGGTGTTGAAGTTGAGCCCTCCAACGAAGAGCTTCCCTTCTTCAGAGGACATGGCAAGGGGTTCGAGTCCTGCGGGGAGAACACGGAAGAGCGTGGGGCCGCAAGCGGGAGAAAGGTTGGAGGAAAACGGACGAAGAGGAAAAAAATGGCGAGGGCAGAACACAGACACGAACAACAAAATAAGGTGTAACCAAGGAGAAACCAAGACGGAAAACGGCGGGGCGGCCATTTGGGGGCCGCCTTCGCGCATGCCCACAACACCCCCGCCGCCACGCCCGTCATTTTGTGCCACAGCGCAGGCCCAGAACGTCCATGCGCTCACTGTGCGCCCACAGAACAAGATGGCGGCGGTCACGTGGGGGGGGGAGGCCCTCCCCATCCCCCCGCAGTTCCCGGCCGCCGCGTGGTCACTCCCGAGACCAACCCCAGCCCAAGTCACTCCACCGGCCCCTCCTCGTGCCGGGAAACAGGGCGCCGGCATCCCACCAAACCAAAAAGTTTCACCTCCAAGCCCAGGACCCGCCCGCCTCGAAGGAGCCCGAGCCTACGTGGCCGAGGCCGCTCCCCTCCCCGCCCGCACGCCTCGCTCTAAGTCGGCGCGGCGCCCCTCAGTGAGGCCAGGAGAGACCGGACTCCGGGAAGTCGGCCGCCACTTACCTAGAAGTTCAGGAAAAGGGCCGTAAGGACAGTTTCCGCCAAGGAGCAGAGCGACTGAGGAGGAGATCGCGCGGGAAGACGCTTAATAAAGCGTACGTAGCGTGTACGTCACTGAACGTCGCCCCGCGCGCGCTCATTGGCTGAGGCCCGCGAGGGCGGCGGGGGGCGTGGTCTGCCGAGTAGAGGAAGCCAAGTTCTCTCGGCACGCTTCCGGGAACGGAGCCGGAGGTTGGTGTGGGCGGGCGCTGTGACGTCAGCACGCCTCCATTGGCCGCGGCCTTTTCCGTCTCTTCTGCGCACGAGCCTGTGGGCTCTCACATCCCTTTCCTTCCCTGCCCTTACTTCCTTGACGTCATCTCCCCACTGGTTCCCACGATTTTCTCACCACCGAGAGTCTTTTTCTAGGTCCCCGACGATGTACCTGGCAGCCGCTGGCATAACCTCCACTCACTTTCCAGTCCTCTAAAGTTTAGAGTCTAAACCTTACTATCCCTCCAGTTTCTCTGATGTCCTCACCCTTACATCAAACCGTGCATTTTCTCAGTGTCTGATCCTGACCTCTAGGTTTTCTTCTCTGTCCCGCCTGTCACAGGACCCTTTTTCCTGGCATCATTCCATCTCATTTCTTTTTTAAAAGAATATATTTTATTGATTTCAGGGAGGAAGGGAGAGGGAGAGAGTTAGACACATCAATGATGAGAATCATTGATCTGCTGCCTTCCGCACACCCCACTGGGGATCCAGCCCACAACCTGGGTGTGTGCCCTGACTGTCCATTGAACCGCGGCCTCTGGTTCACAGGTTGACGCTTAATCACTGAGCCACACCGGCTAGGCATTCCTTCTCATTTCTGACTTCAGCCCTCATCTTTATCTGACAGCCTCCGGAAGCCATTCTTGATTGCCCTCTCCCACCCCCAATAGACTGCCTGAGGGGCCTTCTTGAAAAACAAACAAAAAAAACCCCAGGATGATCCAATCTCCAGAGGAAGTAAATCCCAGTTCACACTACAATTTTTGCTGTCATTCAGGGTTGCTGAGCCCTTGATCCACAGAAAGGACTTTGACAATACACAGTGGACTTATGCAAAGTGTGTCTGACCCATTACCCATAACTTGGTCTCGTGAAGCCTTCAGTGTACATCAATGTGAGAGAATCATCGATCAGCTGCCTCTTGCATACCCCCTACTGGGGATGTGCCTGCAACCAATGTACATGCCCTTGACCAGAATCGAACCGGGACCTTTCAGTCCGCAGACTGACACTCTATCCACTGAGCCAAACCGGTTTCAGCACCTTTCAAACTATCTGATCTCTGATCATATTCCACAGTTCATGACGCATCCTCATTGTTCCATGCAAAGCCCCGATTTTATTCTTTTATTCCTGCACCCAACAATCTTTCTCTTCTTCCCACAATTTACCATTTTATTGGGTTCAATGTGTATCTTTTTGCATGATTACAAATAAAATCTACATTTTCCCTATGCTTTTAATTAAATGGTAGTATCATTCTGTGTGTCCCGTCCCCCACAACCGGCATTATGATTCATGTGTGTTGTTATGGGTGCAGATAATCTATCTGTTGTTTCTAATGGTTCCAATAAACCACAATGTGTATGTACATCTACTGCATCATTTTACCTCTCAGTGCTCCCAGTAACATACACTGGGCTGCCTTCAATACCCCATTTCAATAAATTACGCCTTGTAGCCAAAACCGGTTTGGCTCAGTGGATAGAGCGTTGGCCTGCGGACTGAAGGGTCCCGGGTTCGATTCCGGTCGAGGCCATGTACCTTGGTTGGGGGCACATCCCCAGTGGGGTGTGTGTAGGAGGCAGCTGATCGATGTCTCTCATCAATGTTTCTAGCTCTCTATCCCTCTACCTTCCTCTCTGTAAAAAAATCAATAAAATATATTAAAAAATAAATTACGCCTTGTATAATAAGTGCTTCCGATGGACCAGTGTGAACATTTCTTTAGGATGTATACTCAGAAAATAGCTGGGCCCTCTCCCTTCCTCTCTGTAAAAAAAAAATTTCTGTAAGCAGTGCCAGATTGTGATCTGGAAGAGGTGGAGCAATGTATGAAGGGCCCTACATTCCCATCTCCATCAACACTTAGCATTATCCAGCTTACTAAAATTTTCTAGTCTAGCCAGTACAGTCATATTTCATTAGTTTTTAACTTAAAAATCTAATTGGCTTTATTCAACAATTCATGAATTGGGCATCCCATCTAGTAAATAGAAAGGTGCTCTTCTTTAGTTTTTTTTAACTTGTATTTTAAAGTGATTGATAATGATTTTGAGCCCTAGCTGGTTTGGCTCAGTGGATAGAGTGTCAGCCTACGGACTGAAGGGTCCCGGGTTTGATTCCAGTCAAGGGCATGTATCTCGGTTGCAGGTTCCATCATTGGCTCTGGCGGGGTGTCTGTGGGAGACAACCAATCGATGTGTCTCTTTCACATCGATGTATTTCTGTCTCTCCCCCTTCCTTCCACTTGCTCTAAAAATAAACGGAAAAATATCTTCAGGTGAGGATTAACAGCAAAAAAGAGAGAACGATTTTGAGTACTTTTCACACGCTTGTTTAATTTTGGTTTTCTTCATGTAAATTGCTTATTCATATCTATATTCCTCTTAGGACATTTCCCATAGTTCTCTTGTTGATTTTCAGGGGCCTGTCACTTAGATCAATTATGAATCCCTTCCTATAGCCTTTCTTCATCCTTTCAAACATTTCTAGATCTTTTTTAAAAAAATCCAGTGAGAGGCCCTGGCCGGTTTGGCTCAGTGGATAGAGTGTCGGCCTGCGGACTCAGGGGTCCTGAGTTCAATTCTGGTCAAGGGCGTGTACCTTGGTTGCGGGCACATCCCCAGGTGGAGGGTGTGCAGGAGGTAGCTGATCGATGTTTCCCTCTTATCGATGTCTCTAGGTCTCTCTCCTTCTCCCTTCCTCTCTATAAAAAACAATAAAATATATTTTTAAAAAATCCAATGAGGGGTCTGTTATGTTCTACTTTTGTACTTACTATTTAAAACTTCTGACATCTCGTTTCATATTTTGTATTTACAGTGTTTTTTCTGTGTTTTTTTTTTCTTCTACTATCATTCTCATAGTATTTTGGGGGTCTTTTTATATCTCTTGTTCTTGTTTTCTCTTTTTTGTATTATCTATTTTACTTATTTAAAATTATTCGTCTGACCCAGGACTTGTTTTGGATATTATGTCACCTAGTGTGGCAGCCAGCCTCCAATATAGCCCCCAATGATCCCTGTCTCCTGTATTCACATCCTTTATAGTTCCTATGTTGTACTAGGGTTGGCCAGGTACCCCAATATCGTGGATGGTCCTCAGTGTGTGGGGTTGCCTGTGACCCTTATGTGTATCTGTTAGACCCACAGTCTTGCAGCACCCCAGATAGAGAATCGTCTTGTCCTGCTCTTCAGTGACTGAGCCCTTATCTGAGGAATGGTCAGTTTCCCTTCTTCTTCTTCTTCTTCTTCTTCTTTTTTAAAAATATATTTTATTGATTTTTTACAGAGAGGGAGAGAGAGAGAGCTAGAAACATCGATGAGAAACATCGACCAGCTGCCTCTTGCACACCCCCCACCGAGAATGTGCCCGCAACCAAGGTACATGCCCTTGACCGGAATCGAACCCGAAACCTTTCAGTCCGCAGACCGACGCTCTACCACTGAGCCAAACCAGCTTCGGCGGTCAGCTTCCCTTCTAATACTGGGAGCCTTTTAAGAGTTATCTCCATGCCCTGACTGGTTTGGCTCAGTGAATAGAGCCACGGTTTGCCGCTCTGTTGACTACTGAGTTTGCCAACCACTGGGATAGAGCGTTGGCTTGCAGACTAAGGGTCCCAGGTTTGATTCCGGTCAAGGGCATGTACCTTGGTTTTGGGCACATCCCTAGTAGGGAGTGTGCAGGAGGCAGCTGATCGGTATTTCTCATTGATGTTTCTGACTCTCTATCCCTCCCCCTTCCTCTCTGTAAAAAAAAAATCAATAAAATATATTTTTTAAAAAGCTATCTTCAGCTTTATATGGCATTCTTGGGGAGAGAGATGAGAGGATGACTACCCTGATGCCCCTTAGGGAGCAATTTCTGGCCAGAACCTGGCACAGCAAGCTCACAACCTGTAGGACCCCAGATACCCCGCTCATTGGCTGCCACTCCTTGAGGAGGATAGCACCTGGCCTGTGACACATGCGCCTTCTGAGAACGTGAGTGGGAAAAAGGACTTCCGTTTGATCACTAACCTCCAAAAAAGCAAGTGACTTCTTTTAGGGCCTGAGCTTTAGCAGTGCTTGGTTTGTCTGTCCACAGTAGTGGGTTGGAGAAGGCCAATAAAAGGTGTGTCTGTTGGTGAAGCAGTTAAGACGGGTACCCATAAGCTGGAAACCCAGTTTAGGGCTTAGAGTCTTAGGCATGGCAAGGCCACAGTCCCCCAAGCTAGCCCCAAAGCAAGTACCAAGAATAGGAGCCGCAGATCCCTGCCTAGGACTCCCAAGGAAGGTTCTAGATCCTGGTGACATGTGGAAGGCTAGAGGTGGCTGCCCAATGTTCTCTCTAAGAAGCCCACACTTCCCAGCCTTTGTGATGAACGTCTTTTGGAATCAGGAACTCTGTCATGCTTCATGCAGGGGCCTGTCCGGAAACCACACACTCACAGCTATGATCCAGAGCCTTCCAGGTGGAAGGTGGACCACACCACAGCCTCAAGGCTTCCTCCAGCTGTCCTCACCCCGGGCTCATCTTTCAGAACCAGCTTTCAGCATCCACTCTCCGACCACCAGGGACGAAGGCACTGCGTGACCCACCCTCCACCCAGTGAAGCATTTCGGCCCCATCAGGTCAAGAGCCCCTGGAGACTCCGTGTATCACAAAAACCAGAAAGAGGCAGAGAAATCAACAGACCACAGGACCTTCATGTGTGCAAAGTACAGTTAAAAACAAAGCGACAACAGAAACGAGGCTGTGGCCTCCATGGGACAGTGCTGAGCAGAGCCCCTATTCCCAGACCTGTGGAGAGGGTCCCGCACCCCAACAGGTCTAGGGCTGGCAGGCGGGGAGGCAGGGTCTCCCGTGGAGGCCCTCGTGGCCAATAATGGAGATTGCTGGGGC